CTAAGAATTTGTAATTTAAAATCAAATAATCGAAGGCTCAACTAGAGCCACTGTTGTGTCGAACGCTGTTGTACAGAAAATCAAGCGCTTATTGTTCAGTTATGAATGGGACGGGACGTGACGGCGGCGTCGACCGATTTAGAAACAACGGCGGTCGCACAGATCTCGGCGGCGGCGGCCGCCGCACTGCACTGTGCATTCAAGCTTAGACTCCGCCCCATGCTAGCTACAGATAGATAATAAGTACTGCCTGGAAAAAAGAACGGAGGCAGTTCCTGTCCGACAACAAACGGCACCGCGACATTTCGCCGCGGACAACTAGTCGCAGGACTTTTGGTCGCAGACACCGCAAGGCCATCTCGTCTCGCGACGTTTCGTCGCAGGACATTTCGGCGGTAGGACTTTACGCCGTGAGACTTTCCGTCGCATAGCCGTTTCGACGCAAAAAAATTTCGTCGCAAGGACATCTCGACGAAGCGACATTTCGCCCATCAGATAAACGATTTACTAAGCTGACTAAAAAGTCAGAAAAGAGAAAACTGGAAATCAAAACCAAACGAACAACCTAAGAAAACCTAAAACCTAAGAAATCAAAGAAACCTGAGAAACCTAGGAAACCCAAGAAACCTGAAAAACCTAAGAAGAAATAAGGCAACCTAAGAAAGTCTGAGAAATATTAAGAAACTTAAGAAAAAATAAGAACAAACATTAAAAAAAATTAAAAAACTAGTGAGAATTAAACGCGGTTAATTATTTTGCGGTAATCAGTCGCATCGTTTGAAAAGTCCCAAGACGAATTGTCCGCGACCATACGTCTTGCGTCAAAATGTCACAAAGGTAAAATGTCTCAAAGTATAAAGTCCCAAACCGAAGTGTCCCAGCGTCTGAATATCCGGCGACGAAATGTCTTTGCGGCGAAAAGTCGCGCGTCGAATTTGAGTGCGGCAAAATGTCACACTCCCAATCGTCCGGGTGCGCAACAGGCACCTCATGCTCAAAACCGTCAATGTTCGGTAGCACCTTGTCGTGCCTGCGGATATCGCAGCCGACGGCATATACATTTCTCTGTTTCGTTTTTTAAAGCATTTTCATCGTATTCGGAGATATGATGGATGAACAATCTGCAGGCACTGATTTTCCGAGCGCTCTTAGAAACTGCTCTTAGTAATTTTCTGGGGGTTCTTAAGTTCAAACGTGCAGGAGTATTGAAATGATTTCGTCGACTAGCGGAATTACGATGAAATCGCACCCGGATAACTGGAAGTGTGACATGTCGCCACACTCAAACTGCAGCCATCAATGGAATTGGAAAGGTAGTGGCAGCGATTAATGTGTAGCCATATGTAGGCAGTAGGCAGTTGCCAGTTTCCACGTTTTATCGCTTGCCAGAACGCGTAGTGGCAACTGCCACTGCTAGTGGCAGTTGCCAGTGGCAGGTGCCAGTGCCACCTTTTATTCCTTCTTTCCGCCAATTAAATAACATGCCGCTCACATATTATGCTACGTGTTAGCAGTTTCTTCTGAAAAATTATACATTTCCGCCAATCGGCTATTAGTTACCTCATGTTAAGCCAATCAGCGAAATTCGTTTTGGTCATGTTTTGTAATTCGAATGACCAGAAGATCGAAAAACCAAAGTCGTAAGGACAAATAACAAGATTTAAGTGTTCCTTAAGATATCGTGGGAAAACCAGCGCCGAAGGGATAGGAGAAAAACGAAAAAAACGGCGAAGTTAGCTCTGTATATAAATAATAGTAATTGTAAAAATATGTACATGTACAGAGCCAGGCTACCAACCACGTTACTGTTACATTAATCAGTCTGTTTTACGTTACGCCTTTCCGCATTTCTGTATTTCCGCTATATCCACAATATTAACAGTATTAACTAACGGTATAGTGCTCTTTGGCTCATGAGTGTCGTTGTACCGCATGCTGTTAGGCAGCGGTTTTCTCTCGAAACGTTTCGCATTTTTACCAATCCTCTTTTAATTTCTAACGATAAGCCAATCAGCGAAATTTTTTTCGAACGTGTTTTGTAAAATGGAGGACGAAAAGATCGAAAAACGAAAGTCATTTATGCAAACTACATACTTTTAGGCGTTTTTCGAGCTATCGTGTAAAAATAAGTATCGAACGGTGTAGGAGGAACTGTTTCAAAATAATCAATATTTTCATCCTCTGCATTCAAAATTTGCTTTCCCGTAAAATGAACCATCCGAGTGGACAAACCGTGGACAGACCATGTGTCAGCGGTTTAGGTTCGAAAGTTACGCATTTCCGCCAATCCTCTGTTACTTTCTAATGATAGACCAATCAACAAAATTCGTTTTGGAGCCGTTTCATAAATCGGAGGATGAAAAGATTGAAAAACGAAAGTCGTTGAGACAAACTAGATGATTTTAGGGAATTTTTGACCTATCGTAGAAACATTAATGTCGAACGGTGTAGGAGGAGATGTTGGCCGAAAAAACGACTCAGTTAGCTTTGTATATACAAGGCAACCCTCGGCCTCCGGCCTCGGTTTGCAAACGTCGAATTTTAGAAACTCAGAATGAAATTTTGCTTTAAAGACTCAGCAAAACCAAAATCTGGATTGCTTACACACAGTGAATATAATAGCACTCAAGACTTAGTTGCCAGAAGAAAAGATCCGCCGAATGAAAGATGAATTGAGAGTTATAAAATTCTGTTTATGGTTTTTGAAAAAAAAACAAAATTCAAATAGTTGTAATAATTGTAATAGGAGTACTGATTTCTGAAAAATTTTATTGTAATACGATGAACTACTACTATCTGTACTATAAATTTTTACCCCTTTGTCTAACCGGCAAAATTCCCTTTTTCTTTACCTGGCTGGTGAAATTTCTTCACTTTTTTGTCTGATCGGCAAAAATTTTTCTCTCTCCCCTACCGGCGAATATCCCTAATCTTCTGTTTAAGCGACGTAATTCCCTTCACGGTCTAACCGGCAAAAGTCCCTGTTTTTTTGTCTGGCCGGCGAAAATTCTTCTCCTTTTGTTTGATTGGCGAAAATTCCTTCCACTCCGTGTAACCGGCGAGAATCCCTAATCTTTTGCCTATCCGGCAAAATTCTTCCCTCTTTGTCTGATCGGCAAAAAGTTTTTCACTCTGTTTACCGGCGAAAATCCCTAACCTTCTGTCTAAGCGGCGAAATTTCCTTCCTCATTGGCTAACCAGCAAAAATTCCTACTGGGTACTCCTTTGTCTGGTCGGCAAAAATTCCTACCCATTTGTGACCGGCAAAAGTTCCTGCTAATGCTTAGACAACGCTGGCGGTAGTTTTGGAAAGGTTTCCGAAAATTATTAATTATATTAAGCCAATAATAATAGTAATACTTACTTAATTTGAAAGAAAAATAATATAATAATATACTGTTATTAACCAGTCTGTGCTACGTCACGCCTTTCCGTATTTCTGTATTTCCGCTATTTCGCTTTTCCTTATTTGTGTATTTCCACTATTTCCGCAATGGTCAATGGTGCTGCAAATAAACCTTCGCAAGAGCATAAAATTTGTCTGAAGCCATGAAGAGTGTACGTCACACTATTCCAGTTCCACGATTCCAATACCATTTCCCAGTGGTACTGGCGCTCGAGCTCGTGCAATGATGTGCTTCGCAACGACCGCTAGATTTTAGCTATAATTTAAACCTATAATTTAAACCTATTTAAGAATCTATTTTTTAGCTATAATTTAAACCAGTTAATGTTTCTAGGCGGAAATTCCGCAAGAACATTTTTGCATATTTTCGAATTTTCGTACTTCGTTTTTTAAGAAAATAATCTTCTGATGCTGTCTTTTTGTAAATGCTGTTCGTTTTGAACTAGCTAATACAAAGATATTAATGTACACATGCCGGATTCGCAAGATGTCAATTGTTTCCACCCATCGTTTTTTCTGTAACAGCACTTTCCAAAAATTTGTTGGTATTACGTACTGTGTGTTGCCATAGTGATTCTTTCCGCAATAATAATAACTGATTCCGCCTATTCGCCCTTAGTGCTTTCTGATTCAGCCAATAGGCAGATACAATAGGTTCCATGCAGATACAAATAATATTTCATCGATGGAAAAACTGCATGTTTTAGATTACACTCATCACTGCAGCAAACATCACATATTTCATGCCGGTACCTTTGATAATGAGATCGACGTTCTTATTAATGTAGCCGAAAACCAACCCGAAGCATGGCAACCGGTGCGTATTATCTTGTTTCGTAACTCGCCAGTTTTGCTTGATACACACAGAAATTGGCCTGCCAGATAAAAAGGCCAGCGTTATCTTGTGCTTGATGGAGCTTTCAAGCGCATCCGCCGTCGGGGGCATCTCAGGCCTTCTGTCACACAAGTCACAGAAGACGTTCTGCCGATATGGCTGATACGCTGAAGAACATTACTGAACCTGCCACGATACCCAGCTAGCCTATAGTTAAAGGAGGAGGATGATTCTCGCGGTGTCGAATTTAATCGTATCACCGTATTGATTCAAGATTGTCTTTACCAGAAAGTTTTGTCGTCAGTAGATTAGGTAGGGAGTTTAGACCCTATCTATTGTACTCTACCCTATAATTATCTATAATTAGTGCGCTCATGCGTGACGTGCGTGCATCCGAGCGTAACGTATAATTATGTAGTGTAGTGGAGCGTAACCGTACACTAATTAGGGCTAATTATAGGTTATGTAATACTGTACACTAATTACAGGTTTACTCGTAAAACAATTACAAATTTAATTTAGTTTTTTAATTAGTTTTTTATGTTTTTTCTACGTAATTATGTGTTTTTTGTAGGTGTACAGTTGTTTTTTGTATGTATAAATAAAAATTAATATATGTGCGCGTAATTGCGTGTATGTGCCAGTATGCACTATGCGCTGTGCATATGTGTGCGTACCGCAGCGCCACCACATCAAGCGTTGCAAAGAACGCTGTCAGCCATCTTGCAGGCATTCCGATACAGCGTGTTGGAATTTTGAATATTTTTTATAAAAATTCTTGAACCTCTTTCTCTGGCCGTACGGCACGAAACCTTCTGTTGTTTTTATAATTCCCGCTGGAAATCCTGTGTTTCTGAACGGATTGTGGAGAAGTGCTTGGATTTGGTAGACGCGAAGAGTTCCTTGCGATATTACAGGTACGCGCTAAGATCATTGTGTAGTACCTCTTCTACACGAATTCCCGTCTGCTCACGGTTTTAACGGGATATTCTTTTGTGTTTTTTTCAGATATCGCTCCGTGATCGCCTTTCTATATCGGCCGACCTAGAGGGAACAGTTCTCGGTAAGTTTTCAGTCGAAAACTGGTTGTTTTTTGCCGTTGTTATTGGCAGTATTGTGCTCACAGGTTTCTGCCTGTTATCCGCTGTGCACTGTCGGAGTGTCTTTTTACTCGGTCCGCGTCATACTGCGTTTTTTCCAGTAAGTTTTTATTGATTATTTCAGTAGTTTACTACTGAGAAATGTATTTTTATACCGCTTGCTGGGTTTCTGTGTGTGCACCTGTTGCTGTTCAGTGCAGTGTGATGTTGCAGGTCTCCGCCTGTCGCTTCTTATTCCGCGACTCTGCAACATTCGCAGACCATTCCCAAGCTGCGGACAGGTACTTAATTTTATAAAATATCGTTAGTTTATAAAAACACGGGATCTACAGCTGGTGTTGTACCGTCAACAGGATCCAACACACTGAGAACCTGCTTTATCTGCCTGTGTGCCTGATCCTCGTGATTCACCGTCCTCTATTCGGTCCCACGTCCTCTTCACTTTCACGAAAGTAAGTTTACACTGTAAAATTAATAAAAATACTAAAAAACTAGGGATTTCTTAAATTTTCATATTTTTTCTATAATTTTGAAAATAAAGTACAATTAAATAGGTAAGAGTAGTATGCATGCTCTGTTAGCGCCACTACGCAACCAACGTAACGGTACAGTGCACTTATGTCATGCGCTCTAATTATATTTTCTAAAATTACTTAAACTGTGCGCAACCCGTTACTTCCCTGTAGCCTTTACGTAATTTACTACGCAATGTACAGAAATTTTTTTAAAGTGTCAAAATTTAAAAATTATTTCGAAATTGTCAAGTAACGTAATATTATGTAACGCATTTCTAGGCTAGTTTACCACGCTTTTTCGAAATTTTTCTGCTAGTGTTGTGGATGTATGCGTTGTTGTTGGCTATGCAAAAATGTGCTTGTATGCATTGATTCTTATTGTTGCTGATATTTTTCTAATAATATTCCAGAGTATCGGTAGTCTAGCCCAGCTGCTATTTTGCTTTGCTTGTGTGAGTGGGCCGTAATTGCGTGTGCTTCGCTGCTTCGCTTTGCTTGGTCGCTTCACTAAGAAATACTTCAAAACGATAAGTTTTTACAAATAAAACGAAGATATTTTGTAGATGGCTGTTAGGGAAGAATACTGGAAAGAAGCAGAAGAGCGCGCTCAGCTAACGGACGAAGAGCTGGTTAGCCGGTATAACGCAACCGCGGCGAGCTATGACCGTAGTTATTTGTGCTCGTCTAAAGCACGAGAGCCAAATAAGGAAACCAAAGCGAACCGCAGGGAAGCGAGGCAGCGTAAAAAAGATGAGGCATTTGTTGTGCAGGGTTATGCCGTCCCTGAAAAAGGGGTTTTTGATGAAAAAGGCGCGGCTGTCAAACCTGACACTAGCGTGCCGAAAGACTACCGCACATGTATCGATCAAGCGGTGAAAGAGACTGTTGGCTGCGATGACGCCATCGTGGATAAAATGGCAGAGCTTGTCCATCGTTCCGCATCTCACTGCAGTCTCTTAGCTAAAGATTTTTATAAAACAGAAGACGTGAAGACGCTGCTGTTGGAATTGTACCAGATGTGTTATGAGTATATCGCAACGCATGGGAAGAAAAAACATAATCTTGTTGTTGTGACCGATTTCATTGCTGAACAGTGCTATGCTGAACGAGAGACCGTGCAGCGCGTGCTAAAAGAGAACGGTTGTAAGATCTCTTTCAAATAAATGCTGTTTGTTTTTCTATTATTCTGTTGTCAACTACTTTTGTCAAGCGAACCGTTGAAGAAGTAATGTGTATGAAATGTTAAATCGCGTGTCATTTCGCTACGGTAATTGTGTTACAATAATCAAAGCGTTCCGCTTGGTTGTTGCACATTTGTGTCGCATCGTATAGCTCAATTTAACACAATTATGAAGACAGATGTCGGCCAATGCGTATGTGTCTTTTCTGTTTCATCTGCCTTGCGCAAAGTTTGCGCGTCGTGGGCGGTGTAAATAGCAACTGATACCGCAGACTAATAATGTTGTGCAATAGCTGATTGGTCGTTCGTATAACTATTATCACACGAAACCAGGTCAATATCATTTCCAACATTTCATAACGCTGAGGGAAGATTCATTTGACTTCTTGCCATTGATCAGCTAACCTCACATCTCGTTTACATTACTGTCTTCGGAAAGCCGTTGCTCGCATTTTCCTGCAGTTTTAAATCGCATCGTACTGTTTTTCGCTTTTTATCGCAAATGTCGTCCTTTCGAAAATGTCTCGAAAGGTTAAATCCAGAGTTAAGTCTTGCAAAAAATCTCTTATCTTCCGGGCGTTGGTCAACGCTTTTGTTGCCAAAATACCTGGTACCAACGTGCGTGGACATGAGTTGCGAGATCACATGCAAGTCGTACTGGCCGCAGGAGGTTTTGCAGCCCAGCGAGTTTTTGAACGAGCGCTCGCTCGTGCATCTGTTCGGAGACGCTGATCGTCCGTTGTGTTTCTCGGTCAATTTTTACACTGAATTGGGCGAGACAGTTTACCAGCTAAACTACGATCGTGTTGAGCGAGTGGCAGCCGGCGAGTTTATCGATACGGTTCCGATTCGTCCTACCAATGCTGGGTCAGTGGTGTACGCGCATTCGCTTGGTGCCGAAGAACTGGGTTTTCTGATGAACCATTACACCATGTTCGTGGCAATCGTTCTGGATCCGGGAATTACGACCGCTTGACGAAGTGTGCGTATCCTGTGCCGAAAATGCAGAAGTATCCGCCGTATGCGCTTTTTGGCAACGACGCACCAACGGTTGACGGAAAAGAGGCAGTTCTCAACACGAGCGCCGACATTTATGATCCGCACCATGCTTCTATGCCAGCAATCATGCCTAACGACGAAGAAATGAAGTTTTTGGAGAGCTTGGGAATTGTTGATTCAACGGGCGCTGATAAAGAAAACGTTCACTTGCAGACCGGAAGTGGTGACTTTCCAGAAATTGAAATCATTTCCCCGCCCCCATCTCCAACGCCAGCCGGGAAGCGTCGCACTATCCCGGATGCTCCAATGAAAGTCGCCAAGCGAAAGCGGTTTTCTCAACCAAACCTTCACGAAGTTGTGGCAAGGTCGACTGGAAGTAAGTTATCTTTTACCGAGAGTTTTTTAAAGAATTAAAAAATTCAATTTTCAGCAGGATAACAGTTTTTCGAAATTGTTTTGTAAATCGTCTATTATCATATAAACGCGTAGATTCTACCATGCTTTTTCGAAAATTTTTCGTTCTTGCAGTGTATCATCCACTGCATCAGAGTGTCACTGGTACAGGCAAAGCCATGGCACCCGTTCCTAGTTTCTCTCCCATGAGTCAAGTTTCACCAAACTACGCTGTCCAGAACGGAGCCGGGATGCTAACCCGTAACAATTTTTCTACACCGTCTACGTCAGGGTACACGAAGCAAAATGGATCGTACCTCCCGGATCCGGCAGTGTTCAGCGCATCCAGCACCAACTTCGTACCAAGTAAGCAGTGCACAGCATATTTTCGCTCTCTTTTTTTCCAGTAGTCAGTATATTATTCTAACGTAAAGACATTTCATCGTAGACTATCATCAGTCTCACCAGCCATATCAGCAGCCGTATCAAAGCCCGATGACACAACTGTTCGCGGAAGGTGGTCACGGACCGCGAGGGTATGACGCCTATATGCGTGAGCTGAGAGAGATGGAAGAGCGACAACGTCGAGAGCGTATCGAGCAAGAGCAGCGTTTGCGAAGCGAGATGAACCGACTGTTCTATCAGGAATTCGTCCATGGACGGGAGAAGCCAAACGTTATGACCGGCGCAGGAATGCCCCCGAGCTCTCGCGGTATCGATCCTGCAGCTCCGATTGTCCGTCAGAATGCTTTTGGTCACCGTCTGTAAGTCGTTCCACCGCTTAAAGGTCGTCAAATTTCAATTTTACTCAAAGGAATCCACACAAGCGCATGTTCTTATCAGTTGTACTGTTTTTTAATATTTTTCAAGCTGAACTTTGCAATTAGTCCTTCACATTACTGTTACATGTTATTCTGTGTTGTAATCTTAATAAATATCAGCCTTCCGTGAATTTCGATTTTGCATGGTAACTGTTCCACGGTACTGTTTTTGCGATTCGCTTTACCAATCGTATTAGAAAAATGTAAGTGTACTTGTGTAATTGTAGCCCGGCATATTCAATAAAGCCAGAGACTCGTCAGATCACACCATCAGTGCGCTTTAACACTGTCGAGGACAGCTTCACCATCTTTCGTCATGATCATATAGACCCCACTGATGCTGAAGGTTCTATGTACCGGCTGTACTTCATGTTTGAACATCTCTTAAGCTATCTTTACAATCACCACTCAGTCGAACCCGGTGACGCTGTTCGTGTAATACTTCAACATGATTCGCTCACACGAGGCGCCGTGTCTACGGGAACAATGAAAGCTGACCACTTAAGCGCCAAGACGGTTCTTGACTTAATCGAACGAGCCAACCGAAGTGGGAATACCGAATTCACGTTCTCGGAATCTTTTCGGTGCACGTTTCTAGTGGTTCATAACATCACAGGAGCGGGAAGCAATCGTTCCATAAAAAAGAATCGGCTGGCTTTCAAACTCTCGGAGTATCTTGAGCATCGTAAAAGCGTTGTGGTTATTTGCCCAGATGCTAAGTATGACCCAGATAATGTCCTATGCTGCTCTAGAGCTATAGCTGTCGTACTTGCTAATGTACTGGAGCTTCAAAACTATAAGAAAATCCGGGATTCCAACAAGAAGCCCCAGCATGAGCTTGCTCAAAACTTGCGTTGGCAAGCTAAGGTTATCTCGGAACCCTGCAGATTGCCGGAGCTAGACAAGTTTTCGGAACTTTTACGTGAGCGGTACGACTGTCAACTACGTGTTATCGACGCATAATGCCAGTTTTCTGAAACCTACGATTCTCCGGAGTGCAAACACCTCGTGACTCTAATTTACCACAACAAGCACTTCGATGCTGTCGTGAAACCTCATGCGCTGATGGGATTCGAAGGCAGATGTGAAACATTCGGAGTATTCTACAGAAGCAAACGACAACACAAATGTTTTGGGTTCTGTAATCTGTGTGGCGGTATCAAGTGTTACGGGCGAGGACGATACGACTGGCCTCGCGAAGACTTCCTTTGCAAAGACTGCAACAGAACATTTTATTCTAAAAAATGCTTCGACAACCACAAGGCAAACAAAGGTTATCTCACAAAAGGCAAAACGATATGCGAAGTTTGGAAAAGATGTTCGGAGTGTGGACTGTTTGTTAACCCACCGAATCGCGTGCAGAGCGGACCGCATCAGTGCTATGCAACTCAGTGCAAGAATTGCAAAGCAATGGTAGAGCGGAATCACTTGTGCTATATTTTGTGTGGCGAGAAGGCAAGAAAGACTAAGGTGAAAAAATCTCAACGTTCGAAGAGCATCCTGGTAGATGTCGACGATGTCGATGATGATGATGATAGTGAAACCATAACATTGGAGGATGATCAGACACTGGCCGAATCAGATGACTTTGAATACTTTGATGCCGAATCTGTTCTCAGCGCACCAGACAGTGAAGCTAGTTCGGATGTTTTGGAACGAACAGAGCAGAACATCACCAAGGCTGCGATTCAGAAATACGTCAGCAAGAAGTTCGTTTTTGACTTTGAAGCTGGCTTGGATTCTTCGCGATATCATTATCCAAATATGGCAGCGCTCATGTGTTTGGATGACGATAATTTCAGTTTGACGTTCCGTGGCACTTCTTGCGCCGATGACTTGCTTGAATGGATCTTCAAGCACACAAAGGAGTGCACATTTCTCTCACACAACGGTCGACGATATGACAACTATTTCGTCCTTCGCGCTCTTGAAGGACAGGGACATTACGCTCGGAAAATTCAAGATGGAGCCAGTCTTACCCTCATCACGGTTCCCGGAGTAAATGCCAGATTCGTCGATACGCTGTCATTCATGCCGAGAAGTCTTGCAGAGCTTCCAAAAGATCTCGGGATTAGTCATCTCGTTCTTAAAGGATTTTTTCCGTATCTGTTTAACACACCGGAAAACGAAAACTACGTTGGAGCAGTACCAGGTACGAAAATTTCGAATTTGCCCTGTAACTTATCCGCATGCTTCTGTCGCAGGGCGCTTACCAAGACTTTTCGAAATTACAGCAAAAGAATTTTTCAACACTGAAAGAATGTCTGCATCGAAAGTGAAAGAGTTTGAGCAGTGGTACGCGAATGCCGTGTCCTCCTTTGGCAATAACTACAATCTTATGGACGAGTGTGAGAAGTACTGCGTGAACGATGTTCTAGTTCTACGTGAGTGTGCCAAGATTACACGAGCATCGTTTACCAATCTTTTCCCTGGATTGGATCCTTTTGATGAACCCACGAACCCGTCTGCCGTTATAAAAGCGTTTCAGGTACACTACCTGCAGCCTGAGACAATTGGCATCCTTCCAGCTAACGGCTATGGTAGGGCTCATAATCAGAGCGATAAGGCAATTCAATGGATGACATGGTTCGAGAATAGAACAGGAACGGAGGTACAACATGCCCGGAAACTAGAGGGGGAGATTTACATTGGACCATACCCCGTGGACGGATTTGACGAGTTTGGCGATGTCTGGCAATTTTACGGGTGTTTCTGGCATGGCTGTCGTAAGTGCTTTCCGAATCCTAATCGCATGAATACAGTAAGAATGAAAACGTTTGGCGAGTTGCGGGAAGAAACAAAACGAATCGAGCATTACATTCGAAACGTCTATCCCAACCAAGAAAACCCTGAAGTACGGGTGCGTGGATTCCGCAGCATATGGGAATGCGATTTTGACGAAAAAGTTAAAACCGGAGAAATCACAGTGGGCAAGGATTTTCGAAAGCGCTTGAATGTTCGTGATCACTTGTTCGGTGGA